CATGTCAAGTTCAGCTAAGAATAAATTTTATCAAATTCCAACCCCAAAAGGGACTGCGGAAGCATTAACAATGAGAATCTCTCTTTTCAAAACAATAGTTTCTATGGGCTCGAAGTTTTGTTGGAATATTTTATTTATAATGTAAAAATCATCTCGAATAGGATTTTACGAAATTTCTCTCTCACAAAGGATTGCGGGGGTGATAGTTGTCAAAAAATTCATATTCTTCAAATATATTTTCTACAGATATAAAATTTCATAGAATCTCAAGAGAAACAGGTAATTATAGGGTTGGCCTCCAAGGTCAACAGATTAAAATATTTTCCTTTTTTAATAATTATATTTTTTTTACAACAATCGTCTCTTCGGCAGCGGCGAAAAAGTCATTGTATACAATCTTATAGATTTCTAATTGGATACAATCTTATAAGATTTCTAAAATTTAACTTTACATGTAGCTATATAGTCAACGGACTGAGTATTTTGCATACATTTTATTTTTGCTGATCGCATAACCGATGAATTGTTCTTATTACGGGATCACGGGAATGTAACAGATTAAAATGAATACATTTTCTAAACACTTGAGATGTGGAAAAGAAATTTGGCTACTTATTTTAAGAGATTTCGTAAAATCAAAAATTAAAATCGTAAATCCAAAAATTATTATTTATTTTTGGAGAAAGCTACGGGAATGTTATAGTGATTGCACATTGAAAATTACAATGGGTATCCGCTAGAATGATGACATATGGATAAAAGGTACAGGCCAATCCGATAGAATTTGGAATCTGTTCAAGTCAAAACAATACTCCAATTGAATTTCAAGTCTAGATCTCAAAATATAATTCTATAAAATGCCCAGCGAAGCGGGCGGGTGACAGCTAGTCTATATATATAAGAGATTTCCACGTATATAGTCACTCATCACGATATCTCTGGAACCATAAGACCTAGAAACTTGAAATTTGGTAGGAATATTCTTTTTACCGAGTAGAGGTCAGCTGAGAACGGATTTAACGAAATTCCACCTACAAGGGGGGTTGCGGGGGCGTCAACAATGAAAAATTCCCATTTTTAAACTATAGCTCCTATCGACTCCAAATTTGGCAGGAATCTTCTGTAAGAGATGTAGAAATAATCTATGAACGAACTTTACGATATTACACCCCACAGAGGGTTGCGGGGGTGGGTACCCGGGGAAAACGGTTTAGATCTGACCAGATATAATTATATCTGGTCAGATTTAATTATATCTGGTCAGATCTATTTATATCTGATCAGACATGGGATTGGAGACATGATCAGATCTAGTCATATCTGATCAGATATAAACAGATATAACTATATCTGAATGGAAAAATACATCAGACATAATCAGATCTAGTCATATCTGATCAGATCTAAACAGATATAACTATATCTGAGTTGATAAATACATTAGACATGATCAGATCTAGTCATATCTGATCAGATCTAAACAGATATAACTATATCTGAGTGGAAAAATACATCAGACATAATCAGATCTAGTCATATCTGATCAGATCTGAACAGATATAACTATATCTGGGTTGAAGAAAAAATCAGACATAAAAAGATTTTATTATATCTGGCCAGATATAACTATATTTGTTAACTATTAATAAATACTTATAAACTATTTTACTAAATATACTTTCCTCCCAAATGAATATTTATTGAATGTTAAAAAATATTTATTAGAATTTAATAAATTAAATAATTGTTTTCGAATAAATTAATTCGTTAATAGTTAATAAATCTTCCCATCAGCGTATATTAATAATTAATAATTTGCAATAAATTTGATAAAAAATTTTGTTTATTACGCATCGATCATAAACACGATTCACATTACTTGTACCCGGGAAAAACAGATTAGATCTGGCCATATATAAAAAGATCTGGCCAGATCTGCTAAGGCTATTAACTATAGTTATTACAAACTCTACCTACTCTCGTTTCAAGTGAGTCTCGTTGGTAAACAGGTAATGAATTAGTCTCTCAAGCGTCAGGTCCCAGGTTCGGTTCCCGTGCGCGCCGATTTTTTTTTTTTTATGAAAATAATTCTATATAATTGTATATAATTATATATGGCCATTTTTGGTATATAATTATGTATGAGTATATATAATTATATATAACCATTTTTACCTGGGCAATTTTGAAATTTGACCAGATCTGGTCAGATCTGATTATATCTGGCTAGATCTCGTCAGACAGAGACAATTTAAAGATCTGGCCAGATCTGCCTTAGCAGATCTGGCCAGATCTGTTTATATATGGCGAGATCTAATCCGTTTTTCCCGGGTATTAGCAATGAAAATTTTTAATTTCCAGGCTATAGCTCCTACAGACCCCAAATTTTGTAGGAATTTTCTATAAGTAATGTAACAATAATTTATGAACGAATTTTACGATATCCCACCCCACAGGGGGTTGCGGGGTGGGAATTAACAATGAAAATTTTTAATTTTCAAGCTATAACTCCTACAGATTCCAAATTTTATAGGAAATTTCCGTACGTGATGTAAAAATAATTTATGAACGAATTTTACGATTATATCCTACCCCAAAGAGGATTGCGGGGGCGTTAATAATAAAAAATTCCCGTTTTCAAACTATAGCTCCAATAGACTCAAAATTGGGTAGGAATATTCTGTAAGAGATGTGAAAATAATATAGGAACGAATTTTACGATAGCTCACCTCACAGGGATTTGCGAGGGTGAGTATTAACAGTTAAAATTTTTAATTTCCAAGCTATAGCTCCTATAGACTTCAAATTTAGTAG